ATCTTCTTTTATAATTGCATAAAGCAACAAAAAGCAGTATATAAACACACCAGTCATTTGGTACTCTAGATAAACTAAAAAGCTACTCAGGAAGTAAATATAGCTAAAAATGTCTTCAAAGCTCTCTGCCCTACTCAGGATTGCGTCATCCTCCATCTGAAACATATGTAATAGACTACATAATTTTTAAGTATTTCATTTCCTTTGTTTTGTCTTTCTTTTTTTTAAGAGTAATTACTTCTTTTTTTTTTTTTTTGCTTTGAACGGGCTTCAGTTCCTCATTCCTCCGAAATGTAAATAGGCATATGCTGTTTAACTATGTGTTACTGAAATATAAACCAAACATTACTGCTTGTACCTGTAATCCTAGCTACTCAGGAAGCTCAGGAAGATAGCAGTTTGAAGCCAGCTTGGACAAAAATGTCTATCACTCTTACCTCCAATAAATTATCCAAAAACCAGAAGTGGAGCAGGTAGCTCAAATGGTAGATTGCCATCATTGAGAAAAAAAGGCTAACGGGTAGTGTCCAGGCCCTAAGTTCAAGCCCTAATACTAGCACCAAACTAAACCAAACAAACCCCAAACTGAAAACAAAAACATATGTAATATAATGAACACCAAACATATTAGCCAAAATCTAGAATCAAAGTGCCTATAAGATACATGCCTATGGCATTAACTAAAAAAATTTAATTATCAGACAAGATTATAATGATGAATAAAAATGAATAACTCAAAAGCCCAAAAATAGAAACACTTGATCCATTTTTACACTGGTTGACCACAACGTGGTGCCCCTGGGAGCCAGTTTATGTAGGTTTACACGCTCCTCTGTCATTTGGTGGCTCTGTGAACTTCAGGAAGTGACTTACTTTCTCTGAACTTGTTGAATAGGAACAATAATAACTCTTGGAAACTAATAATTCTGCCATACATTGCTAGGCACTGATAACTCTTGTTAAGATTGTGAAGACAGATTGCACAATGGTCCAGAGCCTTTTTTTTTCAATTGGTCTTGGGGCTTGAAGCCAAGCCCTGGGTGTTGTCCCTGAGCTCTTTTTGCTCAAGGCTAGTGCTCTATGAGCCACAATGCTACTTCTGGTTTTCTGGTGGTTAAACGGAGTTTCATGCTCTTCTCTGCTTGGTACTGAACCATGACCCTGAGATCTCAGCCTTCTGAGTAGCTAGGATTACGGGCATGAGCCATCAGTACCTGGCTAAGAAATTCAATTCTTTATCACTCATCTTCTGTCTGCTATAGTTCAAGACTAATTTGTAGATTTTTATGTATTGCTTGACCTAACTTTACCCCCTAGAACACAGATTCTGCCAGTCATACTTACGAGCTTTCAAGGCTGGCTCTAGAGAAATGCTAGGTATTTTTTGAAATCAAGGGGCTTTCAGTGAAATGGGTGAAAGGTTTGGGAGGGTTGTTTAACACATGGTCTCCCCAGCTCCGAGACATCTCTTCTCTTCCTCCTTTACGCTCCCTAACACCTTCCTCTTCCTGTTAATTACACCTTCAGAAAGTAGGGCTGTCTTTTATCAGCAGATACCATCTCAAAAGGAAAAAATATACAGATAATATATGGCAGGTGCAAAGACAATGGGCCAGACAGCTTGCTTTCAGCTTCTTTGAGAACAAAAGGATATTTGCTATTTTTCTTTTATCTATGAGAGCCCTGGCTTGACCTGCTTTTTCCCTTTTCCTCAGAGCTAAACCTGGAAATAATACATCTTATTTTTTTAGTTAAAAAAAAAAACAAGTAGAAGAAAGGACCTTGCTTAGTAATGAGGGGGACATAAGCTTTATTCAATGTAAAGGGCACTGGGCTCCATATTCATCGCTTCACCAAACAGACTTCTGAGCTTTAAAAACTAATTATAGGAGGACAGTGTGACTTTTTCAGTCCTTTTGGCTTATGCCATGTTTTGAGGTACTCTAATGTACTACATCAAGCCTGGCTGTTAACTCTACCACACTGGAATATAAATGAAGTACCCCCACTCCTTCTTGCTCTCAACTTCTAATCTGGAGAAAGAATGTGACAGTTTAAGAGGAAATAATCAATCACAGGTAAACAAAACAGGCCTAAAATTTGACTTCTCTTTTGTTTAAGCAAATAGTTTGTTTTTAAAACAATGTCTCTATGCAAAAACCTGAGCGGTCTCTCAGGCATAATATTCAGTAAAAGAAAACAGTTACTATGATCCTAACTGTATAAAATTTAGAAACAAGTGAAACTAAACTATGATGATAAAAGTCAGAATGGTGATTAACTCAAGGGTAGATCTTTTGGGAACACTAGAAAAATTATGTGTTTTGATCTGGGAGGTAGTTACAGAATATGTCATCACAGCAAATTGTACTGCATGCAAATTATATTAAAATGAGCAAATATTAGCTGGTGTGGTAGCTCACACCTATAATCCCAGCTACTTGGGAGATTGCAGTTCAAGCTCAGTCACGGCAAAAAGTAAGACTCCATCAAAAAAACTGAGCAAAAAAGGATAGATAGCAAGTTCATAATTTAGCTTAAGTTTCCATCTTCAACTTTAAGATGGGAAGTTGAACAATACAGTGAAGAAATCAAAAGTCAGGAAAGCCAGAACTTTTTTTAATTCTACTTCCTTTAATTCAAAGAATGAAGGTGGTACATAGGTTCATCAATTTGGGTCAGTATTCTCTTCCTGGAATAGAGCTAGAAATAGTTTTAACTCTAAGCCATTCAATATAATTGATAAAAATGATTAAAAATCCTCTGCAAGCAGAAAACATGATTAAGAAATTATATGGTAATAAACAGAGGAAGAACGATGCACACATTCATTTAAAGTAATTTGTAAAACTGGAAAGAATAAATTATTCCCTAGTTATTTCTTTTAAGGTAACTATTATGGCTACTAGATCTCTTAAAAATCTGGCAAAAGGACAAGATTTCTGTGTAAAACCAGAGCCTTACAGCTGACTTTTGTCCTGAGGTATGTTGTTATTTCTACTTGGAGTGCTAATCAATCTTTCAATCATTCTGGATTTCTCCTGACAGAACACATCATGAAGAAACTCTCTACTATTTAAGCCATGATAATGTGATCTAAAGTGAAGTACTAGGAATAGAAACAAACATTTAATAGTGAATGATTTATTTTGAATGCTGGGAATGCATATTTATTGCACCCCAAGTTTTAGAGGAAACTGTCTCTGTGGCTTTTATATAAGCAAATGTTTCCTAAATAGGCTAAAACATGTCTTAGCCATAAAATAATTAATATGTCCAAGTTAGTGAAAGTTTTTGAAGCTTTCTTAGTAAAGGACACCACCAAGAGAATAAAGAGACAACACATAAAGAAGCAGATGATTGGTCTATCTACAACAAAGCAGTTTCAAACCAACAGACAATCTAATTAAAACTAGAGGGGCTGGGAATGTGACTTAGTAGTAGAGCGCTTGCCTAGTAGCATGCATGAAGCCCTGGGTTCAGTTCCTCAGTACCACATAAACAGAAAAAGCTGGAGATGGAGCTGTGACTCAAGTGGTAGAGTGCTAGCCTTGAGCATGAGAAGCTCAGGGACAGCACCTAGTCCCTGAGTTCAAGTTGCAGGACTGGCAAAAAATAAATAAATAAATAAAAGTAAGGAGAAAATGATTTGAAAATGTATGTTATGGAATAGAATACTAAATGGTCAATAAATACATATAAGTACACTGAAAGTTGTTCCACTTCATTACTGATGGGAGAGATGCATATTAAAGGACAATCCAATGCCTCAGCACACCTACTAGAATGGCTACAATTAAAAAGAGGGAAAATAACAAGTGTTGGTGAGATATGGAGCAACTGAACTGTCCCATCCCACGGTGAGGGTGGGTGTAACTCACAAGCACTGTGAAAACTGCTCAACTTTGTGAATTAAGCTCAACATTTGCATAAACTATTACTCCAAACTTCTACGCCTAGCATATACTCCACAGAATCACACAGGTATCTCACTGACCCTTGATGATGTCCCTCATCAGGTTGGTAGGAGTATCTTTCATTTGTGCTGAAATCTTTCAAATGAAGTCTTTGAAAAAATTGGGTACTCTCTTTACCTTTCTATTTCTAACCTTATTGTATGACACAGTTAACTTTGTGAGATTTATTTATTTCCAGTTCTAATCCACATTCTGAGACAAGTGAGTCACTGTTCCAAGATAAATTGAAAGTGAGGTAATGTCCATTGCTTCCTTTACTCACTGGTCTTTGCTTCTATAAACAGATCCTATTTTATTTATTTTATACCATTATTATTTTACTTTGATAATCACAAGACAGTCACAATGAGCCCAATTTTAATGTGGCCAAGTATTGCCAGCTCATTCATCTCCTTTACACAGTTCCGATGACAGAGGTGAAAATCTTTCACTGTGACAGGCCAGCCATGTGAAAATGAATAGCTTCATCAAATTCCATGGTGAAGTAAATAATTTAAATTATACAGAGGTAAATGTTGAGTGATGCTGTTGATTGAGACCTTACTGTTATCAAAACAAGCAGAAGAGAGCAGACAACACAAGCCATGTAAATAAACATGAGAAGAATATTGGTTTGTATGTTACAGAAAGTCCAACTAATAATCTTGACCTGAAGAAACATGTCCAGAAAAGTGACATTCGTTATACTAGCAGGAACCTTATCTTATTGTCATATTCATAGGGATACATAGTCTATAACTGCTGAACAAATGAATTATATAGTGTCTCCTATATAGAGAGAATGGTATTTAAATGGAATTTTATCCACTTTAGCCATAGTCCAGATTGGACTCATGTCAATTTCTTCTTTCTACTGTTTTGAGCGTAAGGCATAGATGAAAAGTAAGGTAAGGCACAGGGCAAACACATTTTCAAATTAAGTAATTAATCTTTTAGAATGATAAAATTTCATGTAAGAAAGACTTGGTTACACATGAATTTTTCCTGCTTAAGTTTAATGGAACTTAGAAACTAGGTCTTTACCTGATGAAATCTTCTTCCTCTTCTCTCTTAGGCCTCAACTGTTTGGGCTGGGCCATGTTAATCCAGTTTGGTAGCGATTTCAAGAGTCTGCTGATATCATCATCTTTTGCCCATGATGCACTAATAACAAGTTTTTCTTCTGATTGGACGATGCCCCTAAAAAAAATCCCAACATGAGATACTTTAGCACAAAGCCTGGTATTTAGTTAGCATTTTTCATCTGTCTTTGCTGCAGGAGAAACATTTGATTCATCTCTCTTCTTAACGTAACTCAGTACCTGGCTTAGAAGCAACAATACTCATTAGTAGGTCACATGGGGAAAATCCTTTCTACATTTCTGTTTCTTAATTGTTGAGTAAAATTCATGAAAACTGGTATTACTACCTAGTCCTTCATATCATTGTTAATCCTTTAAGATTAATGTGAGTGCCTGGTAGGTTTGAGGGACAGATCTTCCCAAAAATGTATATATGATAATATATATGTATATATGAATAGATACATGATGACATCTAGAAGTGACAAAAGTTTTACCAAGGTTGTTCACGGCTTCTTAGTTTAAACTATCTATTAGTTCTACTCAAAAATATTTTTTGAACTGTGGATACACCTCTATTTAAAGCAAATCTACCATCATAAAGAAATCCTGTGCTCCAGATGTCAGGCAGAAAAAGTCTTTGATTATTTCTAACTCCAGTGGGCTTTGGCTACTGACCTACGGTTGATGGACTTTGAGTCCTTTAATAGGGCCCATGGGTTGGGTTCACTTTTAATACTGCTCTTCCCAGAATGAATCTTAAAGGTTCAATTCACCTAAGGGTTCAATTCCAACTTAATTAAAAAACTTCTCTTTTGGCTCAACATTTCTGCTGCTATAGCTAATTTCAATTGCCTAAAAATCCTCAGCAACACTGATAATACAATGTCATTTACATACAAAGGGGAGTCTAATTAGCTGAAGATGACCAAGACTTCAGGAAGTTCCTATCATCACAGATTGGAATATACTTTGGTGTTAAGAGTCATACTGAGATACATTACACACACCTAACACATATATATGATACATAGTTAATAAAAGTTCCTGGACCCCAAACAGACAAATTGACATTTGTGGACTCCTGACACCTGACAAAGCAACCTGGTCCACACTGTAGGCAGCAATATTGTGTGGTTCTAAAATAAGTTAGAATAAGTAAGAGAACTATGGGTGCTTTCTGTAATTGTACTACTAACAATGCACATCCATAGAGATGTAAAGTTCTAAGCAGAGAAACATTGTCTCTCCAGTCTCTCAGATTGCTCTCTCATGAGTCCTTTTCCTCTTGTTACTTCCTTGCATCTTTACTCTGATACAGACTAATCTCACAATCTAACTTTTACAACCTTATTTGTGGGGAAGAGTGCAATCTTATAGAGTGTCACCACCTCAGACTATGATATCACAGTGTCAGGGGACCCTCACTAGTCTTTGACTTTTCTTTTTTTGGTACTTGGGGTCTGAACACAGACCTCTTGTTTGGTAGGCACTCGACACCCTTGAGCTCCACTTGGTGTCATGTTTGTGCAGGGTTGGCCTTGACCTTCCCTCTCAAAGCTGAGATTACAGCTGTGTGCCAATTCTGGCTTACTGATTGACATGAATTCCTTCTAATATTCTTCTCCAGAGATGTGATTCCCCCCCATGTGTTAGCCTACTGAGTACCTGAGATTATAGATGGGAATTATCCCAGGCCTGAATATTTGGACATTTTTGAAAAGTGTCTCTGGTCAATTATTTCTGGTTCCTATTTCCCTTAGGGACTATTAAAAAAATAAACCAAACAAGAGCAAAAAAAAAACCCACCCTCTTTTTCATTTTATTACTTAACCTCATTGCTTATCCCCAATCCTTTTACTTAAGATCTTGGGGATGCTCAATTATTCCCTCTTTTCAAGTATTTTCATTTTTTTCTTACAATATATTCTCCAGAGTTCTATGTTAGTTTTCCAAATAATGCACACATAATTTTCTTCAATTCAACATTCTTTTCTAGCTCTTCTCTCTTCTTCACAGACCCTCACTAAATGAGCAGTCTTTTCTTGGTCCCATTGAAGATAGAACAGTGCCTTGCATAAGATGCAGTTCCTTGTCTCTCTGTCTAGTAGGTGTTAAAATGCTGGTCCCTAGCTACCGAGGCCCTGTCTGATACCTGAACTTCAACTTCAGCTCTTAACTTCAACATTTGCTTATTACTAAGCTTTTTAATTCATTTGTTTTAATCACAGCATCTTTTATTAAATTTAATTTTATTGTCAAGGTGAGTACAGAGGGGTTACAGTTACATCATAAGGTAGAGAGTACATTTCCTGTTGAACATTGTTAACCCGTCCCTCATTTTTCTCCTACTTTCCCTCTCTCCCCCAGACTTTCCCCTTAAGCTGTAGTGTTCATTTCTAACACATTGTCTTGTGAGTACCACTGTTGCATTGGCTCACCTTTGTCCTTTGTCTCACTATTTTGTTGTTCCCCTTCCTTTCCCTACAAAAACAGTGACAACAGGGGATAAACCATAGGGAAACTATAGGGGGAAAAAGAATGAAAGAAAAAAGAAATAACCTCACATATTACATTAAAAACAGTAACAGAAAAAAATCTCTTGTTTTCATATCTAGGAGTTCATTTCACTTAGCATCATCTTATATACTCATATGTACATAGCTATTGAGCTATTGTGATCCTCTTCTAGGACTATCGGAGACATAAACTAATTATTACAAATGAGGGAAACTATAAGCCTATGTTTCTTTAGGTCTGGCTTATTTCTTTTTTTTTTTAAATTTTATTTTATTTTATTTGTGAACATACTGTACAGAGGGGTTACAATTGCATGGGCAGGATAATGCGTAC